TTACGCAACCCTTAAACCTTTCCTTAGACACCAACTAATCCAAGAAAACTTGAACCGGTTCACTTAAAGATTTTTTGTTTATGACAGATACTGAATTTGAGCACAGAAGTAGCAAAGAAATAATATTTTTTTAACTAATTTAGATGCAACAAATTAAAACAATTAACTAATACAACAAATATATAAAATTCGGGTGAACAGTAATCCCGATGAACAGTAATATTTTTTTTTTAATTAACTTAACAGCAAGAATTATTTATTAATCTTCTAGATTGCTGTCAAAACAATAATAATATAAAACAAATTAAAGAGTTAGAAAATTCAGGCCTGATCGGGAACAGTCGTGATGTCACTGCCCTAGAAGATTGAGGACCCGCCTATCGCCCTGGCGCAATCTGTCCCCTCTCCCCTAGCGATAAAACCCTCCGGAATCGGTCGGTCTCTGCACTCGGGCGTGAGTCACAGAGCTTATGCTCAGACGAAAACAGTTGCCCAGAAAATAGAATATGTAAATATGTAGCCGAAATCTTTGGAGGTATAAGAGTAGAGAAGAGAAGAGAGTGTAGAGATTTTCCTCTTCGTTGGTGTGTTTCTGAATGAGCTCCAAGCCTCCTTTTATAGGTGATGAAAGGTGTAACCCCCGCTGAATCCAAGGGACCGTTACGCACGGTTAATGCTTCCGTTACCCGCATGCAGCCGTTACAAAATGTGTAAAACGTGCAAAAATGAAGGCTTGAGAAGCAAAAGGTGTGCGGCTGCGGCGTGCGGGCGAGGCGCGGCGTGGCGGGCTTTAGTGGAGTCATCTGCTAAGCTTATGCTTCCTCCACGTGATTCCTGATAATTTGAAAACCAAGAGCGGTCATTACAGACGTGGATATTTGCTCCGGAATCCAAATACCAATCAGTGGAAGAAGTTAGAGAATTTACAAGATGAGATGAAGAGGCTAACCTGAAGGAGGTTGGATTCATTTCAATCATATTAACTTTGTTGGATCCATTTCCTTTAGGGGCAGGTTTGGCCGGTTCCTTCTTCCGAAAGAAACAGTTGTGAGCCATGTGGTTGGTTCTACCACAGACAAAGCAGAACTTCTCATCAGACTTATGGCTGGAAGAATTGGGATTTGGTTTGAAGGAGGATTTGTTGAAAGATTTGTTGAAAGATTGTTGATTTTTCTTGAATTTCTTCCCTTTGGGTTTGAAATTCTTAGATTTAGGCTTATCCTCTACCAAGTTTACTTTAGCTTTTGTTTCATTCTTGGTATTGGAATTTTGCCTATGCTGGTCTTCAATACGAATAGCCTTGAGGGCTTCAGTTAAGGTTAGATCTCCTTGCTTGTGTCGGAGATCTCCAGCAAATCTAGACCAGGAGGGAGGAAGTTTATCAATCAAACAGGAAACTTTATAATCGTCAGTAAAAGTGTTTCCTTTTGATTGGAGATGACGGAGGAAATCTAGGAATTCATGAATTTGTTCATTAATGGGCTTGTCATCAACCATTGTGAACTTATTGAAAGAGGAGGAGGTGAAACGCAGAATTCCGGCATCATCATAGCCATATTCTGCTTCAAGAGCATTCCATAGTTCTTTTGCACTTTTGAACTCATAATATATGTCATAAAGGTTGTCCGCAAGTGCACTAAGAATCCTATGACAACAATGATAGTTGATTTCTTCTGGTTTCATAGAGCTAGAAAAGGAGCTAGCACCAGAACCAGAAGTAGAAGGAGCAGGTTGAGCAGGATCAGGAGTCAAAGGTTGAGAACCACTAGTAGATGACTCAGAAGTATCAATAGCAGATAAAAGACCTAATGTAGTGAGTCAGTATTTCATCTGATTAGCCCACCGTTTATAGTTAACACCGGTGAACTTCTCAAGTTTGACACTTTTTGAATGATCAGGAATTGCCATAAGTCAAATTTAAGTTTACTAGTCTAGGTAGATGTAATCTGATTGAAAAAGAATTTTGTCAATATTACTAGACCAGAAACTTAATTAAACCTGCTTTAAATCAAAAAACTCTTAAAGTGAAAAGATAAAAGTTTTACTCGGGTAGTTTGGCCAGGTAAGGATAGTACTAAAGGTTGATCAAAGATCTATTAAGTACCTCGTTTCTTGCAGAGCGCTTTACGCAACCCTTAAACCTTTCCTTAGACACCAACTAATCCAAGAAAACTTGAACCGGTTCACTTAAAGATTTTTTTTTTTTTACTATGAAAATTGACAGATGCAGAAATTGAGTATAGAAGCTACAAAGATTTTTTTTTATAGCTAATTTAGATGCAACAAATTAAAACAATTAACTAATACAACAAGAAATTATTAATATATAAAATTCGGGTGAACAGTAATCCCGATGAACAGTAATATTTTTTTTTTTACTAATTAACTTAACAGCAAGAATTTTCAATCTTCTAGATTGCTGTCAAAACAGAGATATAAAAAATTTAAAACAAATTTAAAAGTTAAAAAAATCAGGCCTGATTGGGAGCAGTCGTGATATCACTGCCCTAGAAGATTAAGGACCCGCCTATCGCCCTGGCGCAGTTTGTCCTCTCCCCTAGCGCGGTAAAAACCCCCGGAATCGGCCGGCCTCTGCACTCGGGCGTGAGACACAGAGCTTATGCTCAGATGAAAACGGTTGCCCAGTAAAATGTAGCCGAAATTTCTTGGAGGTAAGAGAGTAGAGAAGAGAAGAGAGTTTAGAGAGTGTTCCTCTTCGTTGGTGTGTATCTGAATGAGCTCCAAGCCTCCTTTTATAGGTGATGAAAGTTGTAACCCCCACTGAATCCAAGGGACCGTTACGCACGGTTATTGCTTCCGTTACCCGCATGCAGCCGTTACAAAATGTGTAAAACGTGCAAAAATGAAAGGCTTGAGAAGCAAAAAGGTGTGCGGCGTGGCGCGTGTGCGGGCGTGGCGAGGCGAGGCGTGGCGTGCGTGCGCGCGTGTGTGGTAGAAATGCAAGGCCCACAAAACCCAAAACACTATTCAAAGCCCAATAAGGAGAGAACCAATATATACTCTTTACTATTCATCTCATTTTCCGATGTGGGACTATTCACAAAGGCAAAATTGCCTTTTCATGAATAAAGCTTTCAACAGTTTCAGAGAACAACGCAGCTTACAACAGATTTAAAGCCTATACCATTCACTACTACAAAAGTCCCTTATAGCAATAGTTCCAATTGTTGCTTATAGGTCTCTTAGTAATAGTATGGACCGTTTCTAATACATTAACAATGGTTAAAACCATTGTAAATAATCCGTTACTATTAAAGCCGTTGCATTTAGCTTATTGCAACGATCTAAACCCGTAAAACCATTGTAAATAATCCGTTACTATTAAAGCCGTTGCATTTAGCTTATTGCAACGATCTAAACCCGTTGCAAATATAACAACCATGGCTATTAATTAAAGCCGTTGCATTTAGCTTATTGCAACGATCTAAACCCGTTGCAAATATAACAACCATGGCTATTAAATTAATTTTTATAAAATAATAAAAAATCGACATCAGCAAATCCTAACCGTTACTACAGTCTATTAACAACAAAAGGCAACCATTACTATAAGATTTAATATTTATTTTTAAAAAAATAAAATGTCCACATCAGCAAAATCCTAATAACCGCAAAGGTATATTAACAATAGAAAACTGTTGCTATAGGGTATTAAAAATATATATTCACCAAAATATTATTGCTTATTCTCTCATCCAACCGTTGCTATAAGGCGAGGATTAAGGCTTGTAGAAGAGGGGGATGGAGGAGGCTAGGGTTAGGCTTAGAGGTTGGAAGGAAGAAATGTGAGTAAAATGAGAATATCTGACTTTTCGTGGGTGAATAGTAAAAAATGTGTGACATTGTAAACATATTAGCAAGTAAAAGTGGTTTACATCAAAAAATAAACTTCAAAGATGGTAAGTATCAATTTTGATAAAAGTAAAAATTGTTTTGATGTAAAAACCCTTCTTTAATTTGTAGTCTATTTCTGCTGTATATTGTGGGTTAGATTGTGTAGGGACGTTACTAGTGTTAAATAAGGTTTTTTTTTTCACTTGCACGGCATCACTAATGGTAAAGTTCAGAAGGTCGTTTTCAACATTCATCAGTTTTGTCCCCTCACGATGGTGTAAAACTAAACTAACGTCTATATCTTTTGAGTTGGGGATCGATATAGCTAATGTTTGTAACAACCGAGTTCTGGTAAGAGAATGCAGCTGAGGCACTTGAGTTCAGAGGCCCCATTATTTCCTTGAGAAAAAAAAACGTCCTTAAGTATTGTAAGCCGTCAAGCAAAAAAGATAACAGGTTCTTTTCCTGAGCCAATGCTGTATCGCACACTAAAAATGGACATGTTGCCACTGAATATATATACCAATGGTAAAATATGAGCAAAACTTGTGTCCACTTAAGTGGACATCCACTAAACTTTTTAACCCTTAGATGTTTCCTAGGGATCCTTGCATGATATGAAGTGACTTTTTATATGTTAAATGAGTGGATATAAAGTTTGGTGGACACACTATTCACTATCCACCTAAGTTGACACAAGTTCTACTCGGTAAAATATTGCATCATTATTAGTATTTGTACCAATGACTCTTTCACAAGTCTTTCATGTGCAAGGTATCAAGATTATGCATAAGCATCATTAATTGTAGCATGTGAACTGTTCTTTAACAAAAACAAAGACGCGTATAACATTTCATCCCTTTCCGTCTTTTTTTATTTTTTTGAAAACAGAACTGCTCCCTGTGCTCCTATGAAACTTCTTTAAAACCTTTTGTCAGAAAAAAATAAAGGGAAAAATAACCGTATGAAAGCAATAATATTGTAATAAACATGACAGAGTAAGCGTTGCAAGAGGATCACCAAAAATTTCAATATAGTATCATTACCCAGTATCATCACTACATAGAACTAGAGAGCTAATTATGTGGGATTCAAAGCAAAAGACACTTTTGGTTATAATGAGAAACATTCTGCGAGAAAATGCATTCACTAAAACACAGCAATTAGCATTCCAAGAGGAACATAGATTTTTTAGATACAAAATCGCAGCTACAATAATGTAAAACATCCAGCTGCTTACCACCAGTGTTATGAATTAGCTTGATCATATTAGACATGTGAGGATAAGTAACAAACTTTCGCGCTAGACATCACATTACGCAAGAGCACTCAGGCTCATTCCAGTCTGCTCTAAACAAGTCTTAAGACTAATCTAAAGTAACAAACCTTCGCTTATTGCTGGAGAAAACCTTAGTCAGTGCAGTTTCAGAGCACAACGCAGCTTCCAACAGATTTAAAGCCTACAACCAGAAGAACAACATCATTTACCCTCAAATAGTTATTGAAGACAAGTCATCAGATGAAGAAAGTATATTAATTACTTGCGTCTCTCCGATGCCAACCTCCTCCTCCACGAGATTACTGATGGGAACTCCAAATTCGTTGATTATACGAACTGTAGAGAATGGAGATACGAGAGCCACATCCAAGTCATCTGTAACCATGAACTTACACTGTCCCTTTGCATATCCTCCCCCTGGTTCGGTCATTTTGTTTGGGAATTTCGGGTTCAATTCCTTAAGTGTAGCGATATACACCCCATGGCGGCAACTGAATCCGTTTCTGTCACATGTGTAGCATCCCGCGTTTGTAGAGTCTACACGAGAAACCAACTCCCCAATCTTTAACAGCTGCGTTTTGACACCGCAAAATGGAGCCAACTTAGGACCTAACAGCATTGTCTTACATTCCTCAGACTTGATGCAAAGATTTTCTTGTGAGCTCAAAACCTCAGCGCTTCCGTACAAGTTATCAGCACATCCCATGGATGAACTCTTATTAAGCAGTTTGATTACGGCACCAAGGGGAAAGGTGAGGAAACTGAATAGGAAGTCTAAAACCTCCTCATCACACTCCATGTAAACAATTTTACGATTAGTCTTTGTCAATAGCAATTTTGCTTTCAGTTGCTCACCGTCAGAATTCCCATCCTCTTCACATTTGGGAACCAGTTGAAATATACCATCCCTATTTGGTACCTTCCCATTGCTTGGCATAGAATTATCGAAGCACAAGTCAGTCAGAGGAGTGCTTGAGATCAATGATCTTTCAAGCAACTTTAAGATCTGAAAACCATGAAATAGGGTGAAGAGACAAGATAGCACCGTAAAAGCAATTAACCTAAGAAATTACTTGTTAAGAAAAAAAAATTATATTAATCTAACTATTGATGTTTTGATATTGTCTGCTTAAACTTTCTTATAAAAGATATATTGTCTGCTTAGTAGTGATGGGTATCCTGGTAAGCTGCTCACTAGCCCCTCTCCGGCAATTAGAGAACACTGATGAGATATTTATAGTTAGTTCATCTCTATAGTGGGTATATAATAGAGAGTAGTGATTCACCTCATCATGGCCAATATCCATAATTCTCTCATCAAGTATGCTACAATCTTTTATCCCTTTCTTGCTAAAAAGAGATAAAATAACCGCTGTAGAAGCCAGCGTTATATGCAATTCATCGCTCACAATAAACTTAAGACCTCCCCTGAAGAAAACCCCGTCTCCAGCTGCATTCATGTCTTCTTTTGTCCACTCGTCAGCATAACTCATTTCCTTTCCGCAGCAACACCGGACGTTAGGAACAGAGCTATAGTAACAGGTGGCTTTGGAGCAGCAACCTGATTCCGGACACGTGAAGAACGTTCTTGGGTTAATCTTATCGTCAACGTTAACTGCTAAATCCTCACAGCGGAGTCCCGCCGCATTCAGGGGATTAAGCAGCATTGACTTGCAGGCCTCGGTCTGAAAGTGCTGGCTGTCGAGGCCCTCAACGCTCTTGTACAAATTACCAATGCATCCTAATGACGAATCTTTTCCGACGAGTTTGATGATGGCTCCCATCGGCATTGTCAGAAAACTTAGCAGGATGTCAACGAAATCCTTGTCCGATTCAGCCATCACCACTCGAGACTGGCGCTTGTCGACCAGAAGCTTCAGGCTTATCTTCTTGTTGCTGGCCGCCATGGTGCACGAGAGTTGCTATGCTGGAGAGGGCGGCGGCTTGATAATTGGGGCAGAAACACGAGACGAGGAAACCCTCACCTTTTTGAGTTATTATTTTGGTTGTATGGGCCTAGACTGTAGACTTAACGTGGGCCTACATTATTAACTTATATAAGTTGTAGGCTAGCCTATTAAGTTATTTACCCCTACGATGGAGAATTCAAAGAATTACTGTTTATATTACAGTAAACAGTAAATAAAGTCTTGTTACTCGAATTTGGATTATGTCCACAACAGTGAATAGTGGAAAGACCACCGACTAAATAAATCAATGGATGCAATAAGATGCCAATCTCTTCACTACTTTTTGATAGTTGATCATTACATTTTAGTCCACTTTTATACCCTCATTATGCATTTTATTTGAATAAATACATCTGCTAATAATATTTTTTATCTTAATTTGAATGTAATAAAGAATAATTGAATAAGAGCTCAAATAAAGATTATTTCAAGCCTAAAAGATCTCTAATGAAGCACAGAATGCCTAAAATTCAAAGCCTACAAGAAGTAAAATCTTAGCACTTGTCACTTTCTTGGTCAATAATTATTAATAGCTTAGTCTATAATTGAGAATTAAGTCAAATCTGGAAAGAAACAAAGTCAAATTCATGATCATGATGGTCAATCGCAAAGAAAATGCAATATTAGGTGATATCTCACAATCAAAAAGCAGAATTTAACATATTATATATTATATTATATATATATATATATACTATATATTATATATACTATATATATATATATACTATAATATGATATAATATATATATATATATATATATATATAGCTTATAATATATAGTATATATAAATAGTAGTATATTACTATAATATATATTACATCTCGACGTAGGCTTACGGATTCTAGAAATTTTATCAATAGTAGCCGGTTATGATAGATATCCGAATTTAATTACTATATACAGCTATATACAGTCAATTATTTGAAGGCCAAGTCAAATCCTCAGAAGCCCAAGAGTATTCAAGAGAAGCCGAAGAGTTTTAAATGAATTAATTGCAAAAAAATAAAATCCACAAAGTCCATCTCTCAATTGTTGAATCAATTTTGTAAATTATTTTGATAGATCCTATAGTTGTGAGGGTTACTTAAGGCCTAAGCCAAATCCTATGGTTGTGAGAGTTAGATGGGGCTCATGACAAACCTAAGGATTATGAGAGATTCTTATTATCTATAAATAAAGGGGTAGAGTGAGGGTTTGAGAGTGTGAAATTTTTTTATAACCTTGGAAAGGAGAACATTTAATTAGGTCTTCCAATTTGTAAACTTTTAAGTTTACAATAAACAAAAAAATCTGCTTTTTTGGTTTTATTTCATTTTCTTTATTGATGAAGATGAAGATTTGCTTGCAATGGGCCAACCCCTTGCAATGTGAGTTTTCATTTTTCTCTCTTATTTTATAAATTCATGTTTAGGATTTTATTTTTTTAAAAGTTGGTAGATTAGATTTATTTCATACATTATAGTCTAGATTTACTTTTATGCTCTTTTGTTTTTGCTGTTTATTTTTATATTTTGTAGAATTTATTTTCTTATATTTTTTATAGTATAGATTTATTTTTCTGCTCTTTTATTTTTGTTAGTTGTATTTCCTTTATACTCATAGTTTAGATTTTTATTTCTTTATTTTTGTTCTTATTTTTATAGTTAGTATTTGTTTTGGATCTCCTTTTTTATGCTCTCCAGTCTAGATTTTATTTTTTTTATTTTTACTTTTCAAAATGTGCAACTAAATCTTGTAGGAATTCCAGAATTATATGAATAGTTTGATTTTTTTATGATTTGTCGATTGCTCTCTTTGTGCTCAAAATGGTCATGCTTATAATAATCAACTAGAGAACTAGTTTGTAGAATATAATTTGATAATCTATACTTATCTTGAGTGGTTTGATAGGTTATACTTATAAATTCTAGAATTATTACTTAGTTGGGTGTTCTTTTTTATGAATGATGATTTTGCTTGGATGATAACTTGATAGATTATATTTTTCTTAAATGGTTTAACAGTCTATGCTTAGTAAATCTAAAGTAAAATATGATAAAAAGAGAGTAGTTCATAAATCCTAAATAAAATTAACTAGTGTATTCAATTCATGATTCCTATCTTCTTTCTTGATTTTCTCTATCTTTTAGTAGTTTTAATTTTTTGCTATTTGATTTTTTTTCTTTTCTTGATTTTGTTATTTTCTATTTTATTTATTTCTCCTCCCTGTTTAGTCTTTTTTTTGTTTGTTCACTCTCTTTCTCCCTTCTTGCTTTAGTTTTATTTTATTTATATATAATCATATATTTGTCTATATCACTTTCAGTTACGCTTCTTTTTGTCTGTAATAATCTATAACCATTGTTAGAATTTTTTTCTACACATCTTCATCGTGGGATCAATATTGTAACTATACTATAACTTGATTGTGCACTTAACAATCTTGGCACTATTTCCAAAACACATCAAGTTTTTGCATCGTTGCTTGAGAAAGTGCTTGTAATTAGGATATTTTTTTTCATTTTGGTTCTTTGATTTGTGTGTTTTCTTGTGAAGGACTAAACTAAAGATTAAAGCTTGAAGATTGAAGTTTGAAGAGTAAAGATTTGCTTAAAAAGTAAGTCCTCTTTCTAGTATTTTTAATGCCACCTTCTAGCATAGGATCTTCACATTAGAGACAAATATGAACTACAAAATATTCTCTTGTCAACCCTAATAAAATCCACCATTCACTTGAACAACTACTAACAAGATAATAAATTCAAACAGGAGTTCTCTTTCTCATATTTGTTTGATTGTTAATCCTAACTAAAAACAAAAAGAACTTTTTTTTACATCCTTTTGTAGTTACTTTTAATTCTTAGGGTTTCATTGCATATAGTTAGTAGGAATTTACTAAAGTGGTTTGAGCATTTTGATTTGAGCACTCACTCAAAATACTCTTAAGGGCAAAATCCTCCTAATCAAGATAAGGTGAGGGATTTCATCACTCATTTATTAACCTATAAATCAATTATTCCTTACTTATAAACTCAAGCCTTCTAAAATTCATTTGACATTGGTTCCTAAGTACTTGAGCTCATTAAGGAACAAGAGATCCTTAAATGAACCGGTTTAAGTTTATTTGAATCCGTTGGTGTCTAAGATAAGGTTTAGGGTTTGCATAAAGTGCTCTAAGGGGAAAATATACTTAATTAGTCTTTGGTCTTCCTCTAGTACTATCCTTACCTAGCTAATTGAACGAGTAAATTTCAATCTTTTCACTCAAGGAATTTTAAGTTAGGAGCTGGTTTAGTTGATTTTAGACTTAACCTTAGAATTAAGGGTGATTGTTTTAAAATGGTTGCTCTTGATTTGTTTAGTTAGGTTTTTCTCTTTTCTCACTTATCTTTTAGGTCTTTGAGATTTTCCTTAAAAAATTTACTTTTGTTATTCTTAGATCTTTTTCCTAACTTCCTTTTTAGAGATTAGAACAAAAAAAAATCCAAAAAAGAATTGCTTTAATGTATGTGAGTTTGGATTCAGGATAATATAAATCATTTAATACGTGTTGAATCAATCGTTAAAACTAAAGATTGAGTTAAGAGTTAGAAGAACATGAGTTAGATCTCAGTTTTCATAATACCTTTGTTGATGAACTCAAGATACTAGAGGAGTTAGAACCAGAACTAGTCTTTAATAAGGAAAGCACTAAGTCAGATAAAAGTTTCACTCATCTCAACTTTGGAGAATTTTTTGCTGATGAGCTTAGATTCCTAGAAAATATAGAACAACTACCGTATCATATCTTAACCATAAATCTTGGGTTTGAGGAATTTTTTAAAGAAAAACTAGTTATGTTAGGATAAACTTTTAGTCATATGGAAATTGAGTTCAAATTTGAGACTTGCTTTCTATTTGATCAACATCAAAAATTTAAAATGAATAGCCCCTTCTTACCTACCTTCAAATGCTGTAAAAATTATTGAAAACCTCGAAGTGTACAGAATATAAGCACATCTTTAACTTTATCATTTTAAACTTCTTTAAACTCCATGGTAAAATTTTCAGCAATAACGTAGAATTTGATGTAGAGTGCTAGCTTTTTTATTTTTAATCTTTTATTCTACATCTTTACACTTTGTCTCATAATAATAAGAAAAAGAATTTATTCTTCTATTGTTTAAGAGTTTCTTGTTCTTTTTAAAAACAAAAAACCAAAAAAATGAGAAAAAGGGGGAAATTTTTAAAAAATGAAAAGGGATTTTTTTTGCTACATCCTTCTCATACCAAAGATAATTGCATATTTTTATCATTGTTCTATATTGACCAAATAAATATAAGTGCTTTATTTCCTATCTGCTTTACTTTATGCATAACATAAGAGGACGGTGAAAAATTTAGATGTGGGGGTGAGGACTAATAATCTTTTGGAGAAATTTTCAAAACCAACCGTTTTTCAATTTTAATAGGCAAAATCGACCTAAATTGGAAAATATTAGCAAAACCGACCCTTTTCTTCTGAAAAAAGTCGGTTTTGTAGCGGACCGACTTTTACGAAGTGCACGGGACTGCTAGTCCCATGCACTTGGTCTTGAACAGCGGCTGGCCTCTCTGCTTAAAAGTCGGGACTAGCAGTCCCGACTTTTAAGCAGAGAGGCCAGGCCCCAGACCAAGTGCACGGGACTAGCAGTGCCTCCTTGCTCTCGAATAGATCCCCTTTTTTAAAAGTGAAGTCCTCAGGTCGTTGTAAATTTGGCCCAACATCTACAAATCCAGCTTGAGAAGTATTTATCCAATCCTCATTATGAAACTCGTCGGGCAACGGATCTTCAGCTTCCACATAATCATTGTTAACGTTAAATTGCTCCATCCAACGGGCGTCATCATCGATTCCAGCTGCCACATGCATGCTATCAATTTGCACGCCATCTTCTTCAAAATGATCTGAATCATCATCTGCTTCATCTTCTATAATTGCTCCGACTGGTGGAGCGTCGTTAAATATATTAGTTGACGTCCCACCGATAGAATAC